TACGCTTGTGAGCCATTTACCTAAGATAAATCTCTCTCTCTCTCTCTCTCTCTCTCTCTCTCTCTATATATATATATATACTTTGCTGGTTTTTTGTGTTTCTCTAGAGAACCCAATCTAACACAGATGATAAGCAAAATGACTCCTGTAGCAGTCAGATGAGTGACACCCACTGCAAATGAGACCAGAACTCTTACACAAGAACATAAATAGGCATAATGTTCTGTAAAAACAAACACACAAAAAATAATCACACAAATGATGGGGACTAAAGGCTAGAGTTAGGTGTGAGCCAGGGGGACTAAGCCACTAGAAGTGGTCATTGCCTATAGCTCTAGAGACAGGACAAGGTCTAGGTGTGTCTGAGTCCCTGTGATCACAGAACATAGTTGGACAAGGTTCTACTGAACGGACAAGGAAAATAGTGATGTGAAAGTTGTCCCAGCTGAGAAGTGACCATGTCAATGCCCATGCTGTCCTGAGCACTGACTGGGCACAGGCCCCATCCACACTCAGCTCCTCCACTGCCTTCTCCTGTGTTTATCTGTGACACACTCAGTACAGAAAACATGTGGATTCTGGAACATTCTCACGTTTTAATTTATTTCCTCTCAAGTTTTCAGAATTTTCCTCTTTTAATTAACCTATCAACCTACCACTTGGCAAAATTTGAATGATTGAATACATTTTCAGATTCTCATTTTCAATTCATAAGTGAGACACTGCATCTCAGAGCAACAGGGCATTAGGTCAGGGATGGAGATATTCTGGACCCACCTCTGCTGGAATGGGGAATATAGATTATGGAAGGGACTCAGTGTGGGGAGAGGGTCCTGGTGGGCAGGAGCATGTTAGTCCCTCCACATCCTCACATTATGCTGATTGGAGAGCAGACACAGTCAGACACCAGTTGCAGAAGAGAAGTCAGGAGTTCTTGAATCCCAAAGGAGGTGCTGAACAAATCTTGTCTCACTTTGTCCTACACAAGAACTATCTCATGCTACAGAAGAAAAGAATCATGAACAAATTCAGGTCAGTCACTGTAAGTGTTGACACTCTGAACACCCCATCACAATCTCAAAATGTCAAAATCCAAAGACTCCCCATGACCCAGTCATGTTACTCAATCCTCAATTCCTCCCACATACCTGGTCTACAGGGTCTTAATCTGAGACACCGTGAGAGACACATCAGAGTCCTGAGCACTGTCGCTGCCTGGAGAAGAATAAAAGCAGGATCTGGTCAGATTCCTCAGGAGATGAGACCAAGAGAAAGGAATTATGGGGTAGGGGGCTCCCATGGGATCCCATCTACACTGTCCCAAGGGTCTCAGAATCAGCTTCCCTCCTCCCATACTTACTTGCAGCTTGAGCATACTTTCCTCCTTTTCTACCTGTGGGAGGAAAGCATTCTGTGAGGGACTGGAAAGGAGGCTCCATGAGATCCTAGAAGAGCCCGCTAGTGCTGGACCTCAGAGAAGTTTCCAGAACTGTGACTGCAGATCCAGGGCAGGATGAGGAAACACATGGAAAGATGTGCAGGGATTGGAACAACCACCCTCCTGGAAGTCTCTCCTCAGCAGGAAACTTCCCATAACCTCAACTACGGGGAATCAGGTCTCCAACATCAGAACCATTAAGGTGAAATATTTACCCTTCATTTCCATATGTGCTTCACAAAAGAATAATTGTTAGCACACAGGTCTCTAGACTGGATCAGCTAGTGTGGATGGTGCCTACTTGGTACTTGAAATTTCCCAGTGGGACAAGAAAACTCAGACTTCACCTCCATCTTTACCTGAGCTCTTCTGCTTCCAGATCACAACTCCCACCACAACGCCAATGATCACAACTCCAAGGACAACCAGGCCAGCAATGATTCCCAGGATGGAGGTGGTGGGCATTTCTGGAAAGAGAAGGGAAGTGAAGAGCCCTGACAGTTTAGAGGGCTCAAGAAGGGCTCCTTGTCCTCTCCTTACCCAATCTTAGGGTGAGGGGCTCAGGCAGCCCCTCATGCTGCACACGGCATGTGTATCTCTGCTCGTCTCCAGAGGGAACCACCACAGTTGCCCACTTCTGGAAGGCCCTGTCCTCTGCTGGCCTGGTCTCCACAAGCTCCATGTCCTGGGTCTGGTCCTCCCCATCCCGCTGCCAGGTCAGGGTGATCTCCGCAGGGTAGAAGCCCAGGGCCCAGCACCTCAGTGTGACCTCGCCATCAGTGAGGTGGTGATGGGTCACCTTTGTCTTTGGAGGCACTGAGGGGAAGGATCAGACAATTCAGGACCTCTGCATTACCTCCCATGGGCCACCTCAGCAGAGCTCATGTGATCATCCTGAGATTGGACAGGACAATTGGGTTGGGGGAGGGAGAGCAAAACCCAGACATCAGCCTCGTGCACAAATATCTGCAATATCACCTATTCCTTGGAAAGTTCTAGAATGAAGGTGAGACAGCCCAGAGTTGGTGGCTCCAAGTGTCTGAGGGGAAGAACTGGGATTTCTATCTGACTTGGATGGAGGCTGAGAAATTCTGAAACATTGGAATCATACCTCCAAACTCACTGGGTGTGGGGCAAAGAACTAGGCCCAGGAAATACAGCCCCCTGTGGGTCCCAAGGCTACATCCAGGATCAAAGGGAACTGCTGCTCAGTCAGGTATCATCTCCCCTACTCTCCCCAGAGAAAGTGGATCCCTTAACTGTCAATTGGGGAGAAAGGAGGGCTCCTCTGGGCAAGTCACTCTCTGGTACATGATCTGGAAATCTGCCTAACCCCTCAGTTTCCACACCCATGCGAGGGTGTAATTTGCAGTCTGTTCCGTTTTCCTCTCCTCCTTTTCAGAGGCGAACATGGTGGACACAGTCCCAGCTCTAAAACAGTTTGGGGAGGCGCCCCGCGGCCCCAGGTACCTGTTCGCAGCAGCGTCTCCTTCCCGTTCTCCAGGTATCTGCGGAGCCACTCCACACACCTGCCCTCCAGGTAGGCCCTGTAGTGATCCGCCACACCCGCCTTTTCCCACTTGCGCTGCGTGATCTGAGCGGCCGTGTCCGCCGCGGTCCAGGAGCGCAGGTCCTCGTTCAGGGCGATGTAATCGGCGCCATCGTAGGCGTCCTGAAGGTACCCGCGGAGGAGGCGCCCGTCCGGCCCCACGTCGCAGCCAAACATCCTCTGGAAGGTGTGAGACCCTACCCCGCCCTACGGTCAGCGTCGGTGAGAGATGTCCCCGGGGGCACCGCGACCCCGGGGTCAGCCCCGTCCCCGCGACCCTGACGGGCGGCGATGGTCAGAGCGCATTTGGGGCTAAACTGAAAACGAAACCGCAGCGAGGGAGTCACCGCCGCCCTTCCCGGGTCGATGGCCGGGCGGGTCCCGCGGCCTCGGGGTGAAGTTCGGACCCGGAGACTCGGGGCGACCCGTCCGTGGGGACGAGGGGACTCGTGACCTGCGACCGGGCCCGGCGTGGCTCACCTCCCTCGCTCTGGTTGTAGTAGCCGCGCAGGGTCTGCAGGTCCACTCGGTTAGTCTGTGCGTTGTCTTTGGAGATCTGTGTCTGCTGGTCCCAGTACTCCGGCCCCTCCTGCTCCATCCACGGCGCCCGCGGCTCCATCCTCGGATTCGGGGCGTCGCTGTCGAACCTCACGAACTGAGTGTCGTCCACGTAGCCGACGATGATGAAGCGGGGCTCCGTTCGTCCAGGCAGGGACGTGGCGGTAGAGAAATACCTCAGGGAGTGGGAGCCTGGGGGCGGGGGGCGGCTGAGACACCGACCCTCCCCCGCGGCGCCCGGGTCCCGGGGCGATGGGGTCGGGAAGGGAGGAGACGCGAGGGGCTCGCGGACGAGGCGGGGCGACGGGAGGAGCGGGGCCGGGAGTCGGGTGCGGAGAGGAGGGACGGGAACCGGGGCGGCGGGGACGCGGCTGCTCCGAGGGTCCAGCGTCCCCGCCCGGCGCCCCCTCGCTCCTCCCTCCGCAGAGGCCGTTCCCTCCCGACCCCGTACTCACCCGCCCGGGTCTGTGTCAGAGCCAGGACCCCCGAGAGGAGCAGGAGGAGGGTCCTGGGTGCCATTACTAGATCCTGGGGATCTCGGGCGAATCGGAGTGGGTCGGAGTGGACCTTACTACCAACCAGGAACCGCGCTGACGGTGACTGGCTTCTCCAGAAACCGGAGACCCAATTGAAGTGAGAACTGCCCTGCGTCATCTGTGTCTGGGCAGAAGGAGCTGACACAGGTTGTGAGAGGGAGAAGTGAAACCCCCAGGAGGCGGGGAATCCCCACAGTGCTAGTCCTCCCCACCCGACATAGCCTTTGGGGCAGAGAGTCATGCTTAAGTACCCGCCCTCTGCACTGACCCTGCTCCTTCTGCTACACTATCTCCTTCAGTCCTGGGCCTTCCTGCTGAAGTCAGAGGTTCTTGCCATTTTAATAATCTCTTTGTTGATATTGTGTGCCCTGGAGTGGATGATACAAAAACCAAACCAACCTCACTGCCATGGAGTCGACTCCCACTCAGCATTGTTGTTGTTGTTATGTGCCCTCGAGTCAAACCCGACTCATAGAGACCCCTCCTTGGGTTTCCGAGGCAGTATCACTACGGAAGTAGGATTGCCCAACCTTCCACTCAGCATAGCAGCCCAATAATAGAGTAGAACTGTCGCATAGAGTTTCTTAGCCTGTAATCTTTAAAAGAGCACATCCCCAGGTCTTTTCTCCTGCAGAGCAGCTGGTTGGTTCCTTGGCCCTCTGGTTTAGCAGCCAAGCTCTTAACCATTGTGATATTAGGGCTCCTTTCAATTCTGCTGAGGTGGTGCCTAAGGTAGTTGACTTAGGCTAACCAGCAGGCTGGCGGTTCAAACCCACCAGCCACTCCTTGCAAGGAAGATTGGGCAATCTACTTCCTTAGTGATACCGCGGGGAACCCAAGGAGGGGTCCCTATGAGTCACATGCAACTTGGGGCGGTGAATTTGGATTTTTTGGTTCTTAAAAAATAACGAAGAAACCAAAGAGATTTTGTTTATGTGGGTTATATCTACCAATATTTGTTGTTTTTGTTAAGTGCTGTGGAGTAGTTTCTGACTCATAGCGACCCCATGAACAGCAGCATGGAACACCGCTGGATCCCGGCGCCAGCTCCATGATCCCTGCTTTACTTGAGCCCATTGTCACAACCACCGTGTCAATCCATCTCCTTGAAGGCCTTCCCCTCTTTCATTGACCCTCCACCATACCAAGCATGACATCTTTCTCCAGGGAATGGTCCCTTCT